GTCAAATAAATAAATAAAATCTTAAAAAAAAAAAACCAAAAAAAAACAGGAATTGGTATGTAATTCCAAATCACTGTTTTGCTTCCACACTTAGTAGCAAGTTAAGCAGGTCCCTGTTCGAATGGTACTGACTTGGAGGTAAGTGTCTCATTCCAAGATTTCAGGGAGTTAGCAATGGCCTTCTGGTTTCGGGGTATGATCTCCCCAAAAGCTACCCAATCAATGGTTTTTAGAGCAAGTTTTCGCCCAGCCATCTTGAGATCCTGCAAAATAAAACAGGTCAGATCAAAACAGGGCTTTTACGGAGAATCCTTTAAAAGGCACCTTAGAAACATGCAAACCTTTAAGAAATAGATCAGCATCCTGACAACTTGAGGAGTACCTTTATCAACTAAAGGAATCAGGATTACTAAAAAAGGATAGTTTAGCTTTTCAAATTCAAGGCATGCAACAACCTGGCATATAGCTATATCATTTCCTCCAAGATTGTCCCCCTCTATTCCCCAACTCCTACTCATCCTTAAAAAGCCCAGTTTTCTAGTGTCTGCTCTTCCTGTACCTTTGGAAATATCGCTAAATTAATACACACTGCATAAAAGCAATCATTTAAATACATTTCCATTCCGACTGCATGCATTTTATTCAGATGCTCCAGGGCACAGAACTTAACACATACACAAGTTTCAACAGAGCTTAAATAGAGCAGATCCTAGGTCAGAATTTCCTCACCTCGAAAATGGGGATAATACCAGCCCTGCTGACCCTCAGAAGGCTGTTAAAAGACCAGTGAAACTGTGCACATCAATCTGCCGTAGTCTTACCAAGCTGAAGGAGCTCTCTACTCCCTCCCTATCTGACCGGTAATACCTGCACCTTCCCGTTCAGATCTGATTATCCCCTGCAGCACTAGCACGTACCCTATGCATTCTAGTAAGACCCTTAACAGAGGTTTTCAATATATATTTGAATGTGAGAGAACATGTCAACTGGTTAAAGCCATTTTTTTTTTAAACTAAGAATATGGGGAAATAGTCAAACTACCTTCAAGACCCGTGCCAGACATCAGGAGGAAGACTGAAATGCCAAAGGCCTTTCTTTGCAAACTATGGGGTGGAGCACAGGGGAGCTGCAAGAAATCCTCCCCAGGATCTTAAAAAGAACTGGTCCAACACCTGCCTCTTGCTTTCCTTCCGTCTCAGCAATAGCTTGTTTCCAGGAGTGGAGGTGATGGGCAGGTGACTTTTACTTTAAGTAATCTCAACACCCAGCGCGGGTTTCAAACTTGCAACCCAGAGATCAAGAGTCCCATGTTCCACCGACTGAGCCAGCCAGGCACCCCTGCAGGTGACTTTTAAAGACACCAAAGAAATAAAGGCCCTTACAGAGACTTTCCCAAGCACCAGGGCAGGGAGGCTTCCTAAATGATGGGATTTTTGTCCTTTGTATGTTGCTGAATCCCCAGCGCTGGGGGTGGACCGAACGAGACGAGGCGGGTGGAAGCACCTCGGTCAGAGGCGGCGAGGGTCACAGCCCGGCGACCTCGCGCGGGGGACGGGAGAGGAAGGAAGCGCCGAGCAGAGCGGCGGCGGCGGCAGAAGCTACACCCGGGCGCTCTGCCAGCAGGCCAACCACAAGGCCCGGCCTCCTCGTCAGGGGTGCGACAAGGGTCGCCACGAGGTCTGGAGGGGGCAAAACAGGGCAGTCCGCCGACATCGGGCCCGGCGTCCCCAAACCCCACTCACCTTCACCGACCCCGGCTGCCCAGAGTCCACAGCAGCAAGGAACGGAACTGGATTACCGGAAAGCCTCCCTGAGCCAACCCCAAAGCTGAAGGGGCGGGCCTTGCTTCGCAGGGCAGCCCGTAGAAATGGAGGCTGGTTCCGGAAGTCCCGCCCCCAAGGGCGGGTGCAGCACCTCCCCCTCACGGGGCCCCGGACGCTGGTTGGGGGCGCTCCCGTCCCTCTCCCCCGGCCCCACCCCCGCCGATGGGCCGGCCCGGCTCTCCCTGCCGAGAGATGGGCCGGCCCGGCGGCGCGCGGGCAGCGGCGGCGGCGGCGGCGGCCCAAGATGGCGGAGCTGCAGCTGGACCCGGCGATGGCGGGGCTGGGAGGGGGTGGCGGAAGCGGGCTGGGCGATGGGGGCGGACCGGGCCGCGGGCCCCCCAGCCCTCGCCCCGTCGGCCCCACGCCCCGGGGGCACGGCCGCCCGCCTGCCGCTGCCGCGCCGCCGCTGGAGCCGGGTCCCGGACCGCCAGAGCGGGCAGGGGGCGGCGGTGCGGCCCGCTGGGTCCGACTGAACGTGGGCGGCACCTACTTCGTGACCACCAGACAGACACTAGGCCGGGAGCCCAAGTCTTTCCTGTGTCGCCTCTGCTGCCAGGAGGACCCGGAGCTGGACTCGGACAAGGTGCGCCCCGCCCTCGGGCGCGCCCCCGGCCATCGAACCCCCTTCGTGCCTCCTAGCTCGTCCCCAGATTCCTGCGACACGCTCCCCACAGGCGGGCTTTTCGGGCCGGAACCCCCTCCTAACCCCTCCCCCGCCAGGCTGGCCCCGGGGGCTATTCTCCCCCATCCTCAGTCGCACTCCGGCTTTCTCTCTGACCCCGCCCTTCGCTCTCAGCGACTCATTGCCCACACAGTGCCCACCCGCACCCACGAGAACCCACTCCACACCCCTTCTCCGTATTCCTCTCTCTGCCTCTCTCATAACCAGCCCCTCGGATCTGCATGAGTTTTCCCTTGGCTCCTCTTCAGCCCCTCACTGCCTGTGCCAGATGCGTCCAGAACTGGGTCAGGGTGAGCGGAGGCATCTTTGTAGCTTTCTCAGACTTCCTCTTGGACCCCTCTGCCAAGTTGGGTGAAAGCCTGGGTCTGACAGCTGCAGGAAGTGCTTCTCGTGATAGCACACTTCTTTCCTGTGGTCCTGGGCCCTGAGCTCACATCTGATACAGTCACTGTTCTAGGAGCATGTTAGAGCTCAGATACATGCCTTGGAAAGAGATTACCAGTTGCCAGTGCAAACCCAAGCCAACTGGTTAAGGCCATCGGGAAATGCAAACTGAAGAATGCTGTTGAGCAAGATGCATGGCTCCTAACCAAAAGTTGAGAGGTGACGAGACACTTCCAACCCATTTCCAGTTTGAAGTGTTGTTTATTCGCTTTACACATTGATCATTTAGTAAGGCGTTGACCATAGCTTACCCCACCTTCCATATAGCACTCAGCCAGTTACATTGAAATAGAGTTAGGTTTGGGTAAAGATTGGCTGTTTTATTTATTCACCATCTACCTCTCCTCTAATCTCAGATCGATAGAAACCTGTCCTGCCCTAACTTTAAAGAAATTCCAAAACCTTTGCTTGTAAAGGAATTATTTTTATCTACCCTAAATCTCTCTTTTTGCAATAGAAGCCAGTTTCTTCTTGTTCCTTTTACTGTAAAGATGAGTAGGATTAAAGCTGCTCAGCGCCAAGTCCCGGCGGTGCCAAGCTTCCTCCGGGCACAGAACTGGGGTGTGTGAGTTACAGCTGGCAATGCAGACTCCCACTGATGCTGGCCTTGAGCTCAGGAGTATTGCCAACTATACAGAGGTTTTCTTAGAATTAGGAATGTGATTTGGGGGCAGTAGAGCAGTCAGAATGTCCATCTCAAGCAGAGATTTAATAATCAAACTATGGCATTTTCTTCCCCTTACTTTATAACAGCTATCCCATAGAAGAATGGTGGTGATTGTGTCCCAGTAAAGATTTTAGAAGTTCACGTAAACGCCTGGATGTGGGACTAGGCATCTGTAACACCCCCCCTGAAAGGATCTCAGAGTACAAGATACATAGAGCTAGCCTTGCCAGTAGTTTGTGATAAGCAACATCTAGCAACGCTCGCCCTCTCACTAAAGAATTGTGACAGAGAGGCTGAAACCTTGCCCGGACTTAGTCTGAAATCTCCAGAGTGAGACCTTTGTGTTTGGTTGGCAGGACGAGACAGGGGCCTATCTGATTGACAGAGATCCTACCTACTTTGGTCCTATCCTAAACTACCTCCGCCATGGGAAACTCATCATTACGAAGGAGCTGGCAGAAGAAGGTAAGAACAACGTTTGAACTGGGCATTTTCAAAATTTGGGCTCTATCTTTAAAGCTGTTTAACAGTTTGAATTTTTTTTTTTTTTAAAGATTTTTATTTGACAGAGATAGACAACGTGAGAGAAGGAACACAAGCAGGGGGAAGGGGGAGTGGGAGAGGGAGAAGCAGGCTTTCCTCTGAGCGGGGAACCCGATGCAGGGGCTTGATCCCAAGACCCCGGGATCCTGACCTGAGCCGAAGGCAGACGCTTAATGACTGAGCCCCCCAGGCGCTCCCAAATTTGAATTTTTTTTTTTTTTTTTTGAGATTTTCATTGAGCTCATGTGCAGGTGTAGTAAAGGTTAATGGAAGTGAGCAGGGAGTCTCTAGTTACCTAGTCTTATCTGAGGAGGTCTTGCTTAAGGGGTCCCCACTGGGCTCTGTTCAGCCTCCTTAATGAGAAGGAAAAGAGATAGCTCAGTTTTACAGATAGCTTCGGGAGCATTCTCCAAACCTGCCGAATTGTCAGAATCCCTTTTTACTTTTACTTATGAGCTCGTAAGCAGTGACGGTCCGTAGCCCGGAGCATCACATCTCTGACATTAATTATTTATTTTTTTCAATTTTACTTGCAGCTATAAAACATAATAAAGGCTTGGCCTCATTTCTTTTAAGACTGGTCTCATGCTTCCTTGTAAATTTCTGCAGCTGACCTGATTCGCTCTCCAGTCCCCTGTCCAGTGTGTCATCGGCTGCCTCATCGATTCGGTGTGTAGGCCGTCTGGACTCTTAAGTGCGCCTAGAATCTTTCTAAAAGGCTTGCCGTGGTCTCACCAAAGGCATTCAGTAGGAGACTGGGGCCTGTCCCTAAGTCCAGGGCACCCTGACCTAGAAGCTTTAGCTTTGAGTAAGAAAGCTGTAACGGCCATGCTAATTAATGAAGTGGCCGCAGAACACATCTGTTTCAACTGGTAAGAAGAGGACTCGTGTGCTCGCTCTTTCTTTCTTTAACATTTCAGAAGCATGCAGAAATAATGGGAATAGTACCATAAATTCCGTGCACCCACCGTCCAGCTTTAATAATCACTACCTCACGGATAATCTCGTTTCTTGAAAAGAGGAGTCTTCAGCATCTTTTCTGAAGTCTTTAAAAAAATTGTTTTCTAGGGGCGCCTGGGTGGCTCAGTGGGTTAAGCCTCTGCCTTCGGCTCAGGTCATGATCCCAGGGTCCTGGGATTGAGCCCTGCATCGGGCTCTCTGCTCTGCAGGGAGCCTGCTTCCCCCTCTCTCTCTCTGCCTGCCTCACTGCCTACTTGTGATCTCTGTCAGTCAAATAAATGAATAAAATCTTTTAAAAAAAAATTGTTTTCTATTGAAATATTTTCAAACTTAAGAGGAAAGGGCCAGCACAGCACAGAGAACTCCCAGATTCATCAATTTTTTAGCATTTTTTTGGTCATGCTTGTGTTATCATCCATTCTCTCTCCCCACTCCTATCCTTCCTCCCTTCCCCACCACAGTTTTTATTTCTGAACTATTTAGATTAAGTCAGAGATTCACCCATTAATTCTTCACCTGTATTTCCCAAGAACAAGGGTACAGTATAGTTATTGAGTTCAGGAAATTTAATATTAATAAATATTTCTATCTATAGCTTATACTCTAATTTTATCAGTTGCTCCAATAATGTTTTTTATAGCAAATGTTTTTGTCTGATACCACATCACACATCCCACGTGGTTGTCCTGTCCAAGGTCTTTGATTTTATTTAGCACAGCATTCTTTCAGTAACTGCCTTTTATGTTCAAATAATAAGCATCCTATTAAATGTGGTCCACATTAATTTATACACACTCACCCCTGGTCATTTTTAGGACAGACTGGGTAAGCATTGCAAGCTCAGGAGTTCTCCAATGTGACCAGTTCCAGGAAATAAGTGACATATGGGAAAGGTGTCCTGCAGCTAATGGGCAGGTACAGGGAGAGGCGAGGAGGGTGCCAAGTGGGAATCTGCAGGGGTGAAACAGAATGAACAGAGCAGCCCCAGAGCTTGACTCACTCACTTTGGGGAGAAGGAAATGGGTACACCCTAAACAGCAAAGAAACGTTTCCCAGCCTGAAGGAGAGAGACCACGCTTCCATTTGAGAAAAGCAGTTCTTGGGGCGCCTGAGTGGCTCAGTGGGTTAAGCCTCTGCCTTTGGCTTGGGTCATGGTCTCAGGGTCCTAGGATTGAGCCCCTTATTGGGCTTTCTGCTCAGAGGGGGGCCTGCTTACCCCCCCCCCGCCCCCGTCTCTTCCTGCCTCTCTGCCTACTTGGGGTCTCTCTCTCTCTCTCTCTCTCTCTCTGTCAAATAAATAAATAAATAAATCTTTGTAAAAAAAAAAAAGGAGAGAAAGAAAAATGCAGTTCTTAGCAAGCATGCAAACTTCAGCTCTTGCTGTTTTCTGGGGAATGCACACACATCTCTAACTACAGTTTGGTCCTTGGCCTAGGTGTTCTGGAAGAAGCGGAGTTTTACAACATTGCATCTCTTGTGCGGCTGGTTAAGGAACGGATACGGGACAATGAGAACAGAACTTCTCAGGTAATGGGTTTTGAACTCTTTTTTTTTTTTTCCCAGATTTTATTTATTTATTAATTTGAGAGAGTGAAAGTATGAGGGGGGAAGGTCAGAGGGAGAGGGAGACTCCGGCTCTATCCCCCGACTCCAGGATCATGACCTGAGCCAGAGGCAGTCGCTCAACCAACTGAGCCACCCAGGCACCCTTTTTTTCTTTTTTTTAATAAGATTTTTTTTTCTTTTTTTTTTTTAAAGATTTTATTTATTTATTCGAGAGAGAGAGCATGAGCGAGGAGAAGGTCAGAGGGAGAAGCAGACTCCCCATGGAGTTGGGAGCCCGATGCGGGACTCGATCCCGGGACTCCGAGATCATGACCTGAGCCGGAGGCAGTCGTCCAACCAACTGAGCCACCCAGGCGTCCCAAGATTTTATTTTTAATCTCTTCACCCAGCATGGGGCTCAAACTCAGAACCCCAAGATCAAGAGTGCCAGGTGCCCCATGGGTTTTGAACTGTTAAAGGGAGAAGGTCTCCATGGCTCTTTGTTGCTGTGTCTGGGTGGGATTTGAAAAGGATCACGTGCTGTCAGGCAAGAGCTACCGCTCCCCTTAAAGCTGGAGGTCCGTGTGGAACACAGTCTATGCTCCAGACAGACAGCACATTCGCCACCAGGCTTGTTCAGAACAAGGAAACAGCAGAAGACGTAACAAAACAAAACAGCCCTCCCGTCCCTTTAAGAGATCGAGAGGTTGTGGCTGCTCACGCACACGTTTGGCAGCAAGTCCATGGCACTTGAGGTTCCTAACCTTGTTCTCGAAGGCAGAGTATATGCTCCCTCCATGTAAGGGCCCAGCAAGCTCTTGCTTCCACCTGTTGGCCACTATTAGGACCAGCCTTTTTAAAAGTGTGATCACGTCCCATTCAGCTCCCGATGGCCACATGAAACCAGTCTCGCGCTCTAGACTTTAGGAGCTGCTTGTGAATAATGCTTCCGAGGAAATAATCTCAGGCTTTCCTATTAATTATGAGGTCTGGGTTTTTATATTAACTCAGTAGACAGAATAACAACAACAAAACCCACACAATTTGCCACCAGTTTGAGAAGACAGTAAGGCACACACCGCCTATTTCACACCATTTCACCCATCACATGTCATAAGTGGCCCTTGAGATTCTCTAGCTCCTAGGAGAGGGTCTGTGCCCTCTAGAAGCTTGAAGTCTAGCGGGGAAAACAGACATTCCCTTTCCTGTATAGGCTCTATTTTAAGAAGGTACAGCTGTAGTGTAGAGGGCAGCATTGGACTCCACTGTGACCATCTGTCTTGCAGCCTGAGTTGCCTCTTATCCCATCAGCTCCCAGTGATGGATGCTTTCCTGAGATCCAGTCTATTGCAGTGTAGAATTTTCCCGTGATTCAGAAGGCAATGTTTCTTTTCAAAAGTCAGAACAAAACAAAAAGTAAAAAATAGTTCCTCTCTATGTTCTATCTTAGACTTCATATATCCAAATTTTCTGGGTTTTTTTGTTTGTTTTTTGTTTTTTGTTTTTTGTTTTTGGCTCTAAATGGAGTTATCTGATGGGGGAACTGACATCTATGACAAAAAATGACCTTTCTTCACTTTATCTGTAGTAGTTTGCAAAGGTGGAAAGAAGAGCTTACTTGGTTTTCTTCCTTCTAGCCAATGTCTGAAAACCTTTTTAATGTTCAAAAATGAATTTATAATTGGTTTGCAATTTACCATATGAAATATCTAATGGCCTCAATCTTGTCGCCATCTCGGATTATAATGTACGTGGCATCTTTCTCTATTGTAGATACTTAATAGCTAGACGTTCTGGAAACCTAGCTTTGTCCTCAATTTTCCACATTCCGAAAAAACTTTTGATTGCTTAGTGTAAATTTTGATGGTACCATGAATTATGTAATTTGAAGCCATTCAGCCCTGAGTGTTCTCAGTTCTTTGCCATTAGCTAAGTCCTTGAGAGCATTGTAAGATTTGTTTGATGACAGCGATTAAGTTAATTAGTCCTCTAGGTTCTGAAGGCTTGTGGATATAGACCCAGTTGGAAGCTTTTTTGTTCGAGGGATGGCAAGGCCTTTTTGATGCTAATTGATCTTTCCATCTGTCCTTTTTATTTAGTGAAACTCTGAGCAGTGGATTTGATGTTGTTCAAAAACACCCTCTTTTGCATGTATCACAGCTCTAAGGCAAAATTGGCCATGTGTGTATTTTTGTGGCTTTCCCTTCAAACACGTTATCTCCTTTAACTTGCTGATTTTTTTCTTAAGATTTTATTTTTAAGTAATCTGTACACCCAGCATGGGGCTGGAACCAACAACCCCAAGCCACACGCTCCTCCCACTGAGCCAGCCAGGGGCCCCTAACTTGTCTCTATTTCAGGGAGACACACATGACCGGGATTCAGGCAGAGCCCAAATATGGGTGTCCCACCCCACCTTTTAGTGACTTCTCATTTCTCTATTAGTGGCTGCTACTACTCTGCTACTTTGCTGTCTCTGACATTTTTTGTTACGTCATTAATCTTAGTGCATTTGAGAACACCTGTGGTTTACTTTGGAAGAGAAAAATAAAGAGGTAACGTCTTAAATACCTTGGGCTTTGATAGTTGGGGCTAGATCTTTCGTGATACTCTGAGTTTTAGAACATAAAACACTTGGTTGTTTCCAGAATGTGTGCTCAGAGATCATTGAAATCTTCCTGAGATTTGCTCTACATTTTAGGTGGAGGGAATGTTTTTCTTGGTGCCTCGTGTAACAATAGTTGCGTTCGGTCCAGAAGGGGAGACCATGAAAGAAAGAGCTCAGCATTGTTGGCAGACCAGCCCAGGCGCTGGTGCTGCCTCCATCCCAACAAGCACCGCCTGACTCAGGCAAGACACACCAGTGTCCCGCAGAAGACGGGAGCAGAGGGGGACCCCACTCTGGGCTTGGAGCACTCCCTAATCTGGAGCTGCTTTTGTTGAGCCAGTATTTCCCCAGCAGCGGGTTCTTCCAAACAAATTTTCCAGAGAACTGAAGCCCAATCATCCTTTTGAAAAAGCACCAAAGCCAAATTTCCATTATTCTTAAGGAAACCGTCTGTATTTTCTTTCTTTCTTTCTTTTTTAAAGATTTTATTTATTTATTTGACAGAGATCACAAGTAGGCAGAGAGGCAAGCGGGGTAGGGGCGGGGGGTGGGGGGGAAGCAGGCCCCCTGCTGAGCAGAGAGCCCAATGTGGGACTCGATCCCAGGACCCTGAGATCATGACCTGAGCAGAAGGCAGAGGCTTAACCCATTGAGCCACGCAGGCGCACCACCCACCCCCCGCCCCGGTCCATATTTTCTTGAAATCCCGAGAACATAACCAATCCCTCCGTGACGGAGCATCATTGTTCTCAGCTTCCGTTGCTGTTTGTGCTCTAACAAATGCGTCATGTCCTTCGGACGGGCAGTGGATGTGCAGCTGTTGGACCCAACACTGAATGGTCCGAAATTGACAAACGCTGCATCTTCCCGTGAGCCTCCAGGCGTCCTTTTGTGAACAGGAGCTCTCATCTGGGGAGCATGCCTCCCTGCAGCAACCCTTGCCCTCACCTGACTTTGGCTTTTTTTTCCTTTTTTTTTTTTTAAAGATTGATTGATTTGAAAGAGAGACACACAGAACAGAGGGAGAGTGAGAGAGAGAAGCAGATTCCCCACTGAGCAGAGAACCCGACATGGGGTTTGATCCCAGGACCTGAGCCAAAGTCAGATGCTTAACTGACTGAGCCACCCAGGCACCCCCCAACTTTGGCTCCTAAAGCTCACAGCCCAAGTCCTAAGGGAGGGGTTCTCCTGTGGATAAAGCGTTAGGGGCCTTAGTGCCGCAATTTTGGGGCATCTAGCCTTTTCATTTCTGGTTCTAACTTCTGTTCCAGAGTTGAGTGGGCTAACAAGTGACTTCTCTCTGAATCTGACACCAACTGGGTGTCCAGCAGTTTGTCCTCTCCTGAAACTAACCAGTGTGTAGTAACTATTTCTACAGGTTTCAGGGCTCAGCCCCCCGCTTCAGACACCAGTGCCACATCCCAGGTCCCCATGCTACCTGCACTTCTGTCCATTGCGGCTACACAATGAAGGGTTCCCATGACATCCCCCTTTGGGTTCAGTAATTTACTAGACCAACTAGAACCCAGGAAGATGCTCTACTTACTATTACAGTTTGTCTCTAGGAGACAGAGGACAGCCAGATGGAGAGAGACTGGGGCGGGATCCGAGTGCAGGAGCCTTCGTGCCTGTGGAGTTGGGATGTACCACTTGGCCAGCACGTGCTTATGGTTGCCAACTTGGAAGCTCCCTGAACCTCAGTGTTCGAGGGTTTTTAAGGATGTTTCATTACGTACACATGACTAATTAGAATAAATCATTGGTCGTTGGTAACCGAATTCAGTCTTCAGCTCAGCCCCTCTTCCTCCCACCGAGGTCAGAGGTCAGCAAGTAGGACTGGACGTCTTAACCTTCTAATGGTGCTTGGTCTTCCTGGGAACCAGTCATTAGCACAAAAAAGATACTTTCATCCCTCGGGTAATTCCAAGGGTTTTAGGAGCTCTGTGCTAGGAACCAGGAAGGAACAAAGACCAAATACCCATTTTTTAGTATATACTTCCGTAACGGGAGTGCTACCATTTAACTCTGAAACACTTTCACTCTAAGGTACCATCAGCGGAGGGTAAGTGTTTTAAACATTGGTATAACCTGGGATCCTGTTCAATATATTATTCCCATAATAAGATTTCACTCTGAATAAACCAAAATGGTCTGCATTTTCAGGATGTATGTCAGATATGAACCAATTAAGATGATGAGGTGACTTTCTTGTCCAAAGTGATTTTACTCTATTTTCTACTCCGGGAAATGGCTGAAATCTAAGCACATAACTCATTTCTCTGAACTTCAGAATTACTGGACCCACTGATTCCATAGCCTTGGGCCTTTTTTTTTCTTTCTTTCCTTGGATAAGTTTTTATTGAAAAACGACATTGCTGCTTGTCAGAGGGGCTCGTGTGGGGCTGTCCAGAAAAAATGTCCAAGCAAGCTCCTTTTCAGCAGTCAGTTTTGGGAAGAGCCACACCAGGGCAGCTGCAAGCTGTCGTGTCCTCGAGATTGTTCTTCAAAGTCTGTTGTTGTCGCAGGGCCCCGTGAAGCACGTGTACAGAGTCCTGCAGTGCCAGGAGGAGGAGCTTACACAGATGGTCTCCACTATGTCCGATGGGTGGAAATTTGAACAGGTATGTTTCCCAGGAGGCCCCGTGCCTCAAACCGTCGCCAGCCATAGGCAGCTCCTAACCTCAGGGGTCCGTCGGGCCAGGTGGGAACCTGTTCAGAAACGGAGGAAAGAGCCACTAGGTGTGGATGATGTGCTCAGTCACACCAGATGAGTTGGGAGACTTGAGAGTAGTATCATGTCTCCCAACTTCACATCCAAGTTTCAGTTTCATTGTGCTTGCCTAGGCCTGAAAGTGCCTCTCTGGGGTTTTTTCTTAAGTGCTCAGTTGACATTTTATAGAATAACTATGAAAAGAAGGCTAGGATTCAGCGATAGCCCTTTCCTTTCCTCCTCCTGGGGTGAGAATGCTGTCGTTCCAAACATGTATGTCGTCCATCCCGAAGAGCATGGGCGTGTGTGATGTGAAAGGAGTCAGGCGTGGTGAGAAGTGTGGCTTGGCCGTTCCCCATCAGTCTGTGCATTTCTGTTCCTTGAGCTTTGTGTCGTGGAGGAAGTATCCAGACAAAGCCACACAGTCAGCGTTGTACTGTTCCCTCCATTAGATGGCAGAATTGTTCAGCTCATCTGTTGCCTTCGCCACAGGGAGGCTGGGCGCGCCAGAATGAACGTGTTACCGAACAGAATGATCCTGTTACCATTTTGTGGGGATCAGGCCTGTTTTTATGCAGACTTTTGAAGAGTCAGTTGAGGGGTCACCAGAAACTCACCTTCTCAACTAACTGCTGCTGGGCTGCTAAGAGCACTGTGTTGTAGATAGAATACACAGGTGTCTCCGCCTTCAGAGCTAACGCAGGACCCTTCCTCACCCTTGCCCGTACAGCCAAGTCCATTCTGCCTGTGTATGTCGGCCTGATTCTTAGCCAGGTGCGGGCTGCAAGGTATTGCCATACTTCTACCCCACAAGTATTTTCCCTGCTATGTGTTTTTTCTTTTTCAAGATTCTATTTTTAAGTAATCTCTGTGCCCAACATGGGGCTGGAACTCAGGACCCCGAACTCAAGAGTTGCATGCTTCTCCTGCTGAGCCAACCAGATACACCCTCCCTGGAATAAGTTTTAAGCAAAGAATGTTTTGTTTTTTTTAAGATTTTTATTTATTTGACTGAGAGAGAGAGGCAGCAAGGGAGGGAATACAAGCAGGGGGAGTGGAGAGGGAAAAGTAGGCTTCCCTCTGAGTGGGGAGCCCAATGCGGGGCTTGATCCCCAGACTCTGGGATCATGACCTGAGCTGTAGGCAGATGCTTAATGACTGAGCCACCCAGGTGCCCCAGCAAAGAATATTATTAAAAAAATAATAATAAAAATAAGGTGTTTTTTTTTTTACTTTTTTTTTTTATTTTTTTTTTTTTTTTTTTTAAGTTTTTTTGAGAGAGAGCACAAGGGCAGGGTGAGGGCAGAGGGAGAAGCCCCACGGAGCAGGGAGCCCGATTCGGGACTCAGTCCGGGGACCCTGGGATCATGACCTGAGCAGAAAGCAGATGCTTAACCAACTGAGCCACCCTGGTGCGCTTTTAAGTATTTTTATGAAACCGGCAAATAATTATGAATCTTTTTCTCATCTTGTTAATGTTTGGGGGCAGACAAGGCATGCTAGTACAAACTCTATTATATATGGATGAGGAAGTTAAAGCCCATTCATAGAGCGAATCGGTCATGTTCTTCTGACATGAGGCCCTCCATGCTTGCCCCGATGACCTTACCCTTTGGCTTCGTTTTTCCCTGAGCATGTGTATTGTCTATTTAGAGTTGAATCCTGAATTCAATTCGCTAAAAAGGTAAAGGTCCCAGCAGCATATGGCTTATGATAACTCTTCAGTGATTCACTCAGTGCTTTCCAGAGCCTTCTGAGTACCAGTCTCCGGTCCAGGACTTCTGCCTGAGGATGAGCCAGCTCTGTGTAGGCGTTTGGCTGAAGCAAGTGTCCATTCTCATTCACACAAACATTCTTTTTCACCTCAGTGTTTGCTAGAAGGAGTGTGATTGTGGTAATCCTAGTTGCCGCCTTCCGGTTTGTTTCAAGCGCTTGGGTGGGGAGACAGTGGCAGCGCCCCTACTTTTCTTCTCTAGGGAAGGCTTATTGACGATGCGCTGGTGAGTCACTGAGATCCAGATGTGCCCTTGAGCCTGGATAGTCCCAGAAATGATTGTCCATGAGAGGCAGAACCACACAGTTGGGTCAGGAGGAGGGCTGGATGCGTGTGGCACTTTGGTACCTGAAGGTGACTGTTCGCCATATTCTTGTCCTATCAGCTAATCAGCATCGGCTCTTCCTATAACTACGGAAATGAGGATCAGGCAGAATTCCTCTGTGTCGTCTCCAGAGAACTAAATAATTCTACCAATGGCATTGTCATAGAGCCCAGTGAAAAGGCAAAGGTAAGAAATGGTGTCACCAGAATTTTGTCTCTGACTCGTTTGTTCCCAGCCCCTTAGAGGGCTTTGCCTGAACCAGTTGTTGCTTGAGGTTTCTTCCCTTTCCTTCTGAAGCTGGCTTTGCATTTTGCCTTCATTTTGGTTTTTGACTGTTAACAATTTAAGTCAGGATTTATGGAGCCGTGGCTGAGGGTTTTAGTCAGGAAGCGCGTACTGAAATAGGGTGGACTCACATACCCTCTGTCCAGTCAGTGGAAAAAATCTTATTGCCAGTAATGACAACAACGTGAGAATTCTGAATCTCAAAATTGGAAATTATTTTGTGTTTATTCTTTGAAACTGTTCTCTCCTTTTTGCTGCCTCAAGAGAAGAGGTATTTGGTTACCTCTGTGACCTCCTCACCTTGAGTCACTGGGAAATTGTGCAGTTACCTCACACACTCTCCTAAGTCAGCAGCCCATGGTGCATCTGAACCATTTCCTTTAGCATCAACAGCACTCGGGGCCCCACGGTGTTGAGCAAGTCTTTTACCACTGAAGTGCTTCAAGGGGGTCAGGGCTGCAGCCCTGCCTTGCCTCCTGGTTTACCAGGGATTGTCGTGCTGCTCGCGGGGGTCCAGCAGAAAGCAGCTGCGGCTCCCTTTTCCCGCAGCAGTCTGCTTAGCAGCCTCGGCCTCAAAGCAGGTCTGCTCCAGAGTCCAAGCCTCAGCCCTCTCCCCCGTCTTCCACTTGCAGATTCTTCAGGAGAGAGGATCTCGGATGTAAATTCCAGATCCTTAACCATCAGGAGAGCAACCCGGCAGAGCACCTCGTGACGTTTAATCTTGCTCCTGTACAGTAACCAACCGAGCTGCTGCAAAGCAAAGCTGAGCCTGGCCCCCCAGTGGAGAAGTGTTCTGGTCAAAACCAAAGGAACCCCTGCCCCCTCCCACAGGAACCTGAAGACAGACGCGACTCCCGGCTGCAGAATACCTTTTCAGAAACCTGCTTTTGTTTTCTTAGCCAGTGTCGTGACGAGTCTGATAACCGCAGCTGGGCCAGGTTCCCACTTAGAGCCCTTAAGGGCACCTGGGGGAAGGGAAGAGGAAGGCCTGGCTCCTTGTACATGCCCGTACTTCAGGGAAGCCGCGGCAAATGAAGGAGGATCGTCCCTGAGCTGTGCCATGTTTTCGCCCGAGTGCCGCGTTGGAAGCCGCTTTGAAACACTATCTTTCCCCCCTTCTCTGCACCCCAGACTAATGCAGCAGATGCCAAGGACTGTAGCTTCAGTCTGTCAAGTTGAGTTTAGGTTTTGGATAAAGGACGGCGTTGCCAGAATAACACCACCCCCGCCCCCGTTCCTGTGAACAAAACCCCTTTGAGGAAGCGGGTGATGGGGTGTCCCTTGGTTATGGGTGGAGGTCGGGGATTGCTGCTCTGGGTTCGGGGCGCTTAGCCGCCTCCATGTCCATCCCTGCCTCATTTGCCTCTAGCAGCGCAGACTCTCCAGTAGCTTACTTTCATCCCGAGAGGAGGTCTGAGGCAGGTGGCGTCCCGCACTCTGTTGCACAGACAGATGGGAGCGTCAGGTAGCTGGTCTGTAGCCTTCACTCACCCTCCGTTGGCCCATATTCCTTCTCTGACTTCTGAAACTGGACCGAAGATAAAAGGGACTTGGGATCCTCTGCTGGCTTGGGATGGGGACAGCATTTCTTTGAAAGTCGTCAAATGTGTTGCATTGTAGTATCCAAAAGTGTTATTTCTTCTGAGATTGTCTCTTGGAAATGCCTTGACTGAACATTTAGTATTTATTTGTGTCTCTTCCTGATTTCTGACCATACCTGGCAGGCGTGTCCGTGCCCCCACATCCTCCCCGGTAGAGTGTGTGTGTTTGCTGGGCGGGCCAAGGACCCCCCCTCCCTACATCTCCGACCCCACCCGTTAGCATCGCTTCTTTCTTCGGAGAGCCAGGTCATGGAGAATCAAATGCTTGTTTGACCGAGGAGGGGAGTAAAGCCCTCCTTCGGGCTGGGACCACAGAGCTCGTAGCTGGATCGTCTCGGTGAACAGTCATTGAATGCAAAGGGCCAGAGAATCCCTAGCTTTTCCCTAGATGACTTTCCTGGTATGGCAGATGGCCCAGAGAAGGGGAAGGTGCCATGGGACACTCCATCTGTAACGGCCACCCCCTGCCAGTCGCTCCTGGCTTCCTCCACAGATGAGGTTCTGTCCCCTCCACAGCTCAGCTACTTCCTAGGTGGGTCTGGCGCTGCGATTTTTGGAAGTGACTTCAGGCTGTGCCAAATATCTTTTGAGCTTGTGACATGTGCCCATGTGCAGATGGCGTAACTGTTCTTCAGGATTCTCGCTTTGACCTCATCTGTGTGTAAAGCAGGATAGAAATGTGTGCCCAGGGGTGTCTGCTGATACGGGACCGTGCTTGTGGACGTTGGCACCTCAGAACTCTGGCCCGTGCCCACAATTGCTACAGCTAGAAAATGTTACAGGAACTTCTACCTACAGTAAAAGCAGTCACCTTTGAAAAAGGTCACAGATATCCTGTCATCTTTCAGGAAAAAAAATAAAATAATAAGATTTGAATGTGTCAAGGAAAAGCTGCTCTGACCAGAATAGGACAGAGGACTTTGGAAGAGGCGCTCTTTGGCCAATTCAAAAAAGTAAAATTTGACTCAAAGGAGGGAAAGCAGCTTCATTTCGGGCCGGGGCCATTTCCCTGGCGGTCGGCCCATGCTTCCAAGCCTGCTCGAAGGGGTGAAGCCAGGTGGACCAGAAGGCAGAGGAGAGCAAGCCCGTCCGAAACGACCATTTCTCTTCTCAGAGTCCCACAGTGGATCCTGCGGAGAGACCGCTGAGCGCCGCGCTCAGCAGAGAAACCAAGAGCAGTGACATTACCGCTGTCCTGCGGGGCTGGCTTTCGTGAGGATCCCTCCTCGTGGCAACCTCATGACAGTTGCTCCGGTACTCCTGAAGCTGAGGACAATTCATTTCTTGAGGTTTCTGGAAAAGTTTCCCCCCCCCCCGCCCTTTATGAACCGAGTCAGTATTTTTTCCTGAAAGCCTCCTCCCCCTCCTGGGAGAGTCCGGCTGATGACTTCGGAGAGAGGTCTGGCCATCGGTTTGGGGGTGTCACATGGCCAGTGACCCACATTCTCTCCAGCTGCCCAGGGCTGCCGGGTGGGGAGTGTCTTCCTTCTTCGTTCTGTGCCCAGGCGCAGCTCTCGAAGCAGCCTGGCTTCTCCCAGGAGACGCCATCATCGCGCGCTTCTGTCTTTCCCTCAGAACCTGTTTTCTTCTTGGCCGTGCGGCGTGGCCCAACCTCCTCTAGAGCGACTTCGTTTCTGCAGTCTTAACTGGCCTCAGGGGTGTCAGCGAGGTGTAGGGGAGGAAGGGACAGAGATGCTGGGGGGGGGGGTCGGGCCAAGAGGACACCCACACCCTCCAGCATGGCCTTTGACCCAGAGGTTAGGGACCATGCCTGTCACTTGTGGGTGCCGTTTGTTACTGTTTGTGTATTTGAATAAAGTCTGAAATGCTGTGACCTTTTTTTTTTTTTTTTTTTTAAAAAAAACATGAAAAAAAATTTTCATCTTTGGTTTCCCATCACTCCCGATGATCCTCAAGCTGTTTTCAGGAGATGAATTTGACTACCAGGGCCTCTTACAAAGTCCTCATTTCTCTTGCTGCTGAAGCCGCCTGAGGGGGTGTTGGGCCTTCTTCCTCCTCAGGACCAGGAGAGAGGGAGAAACAGGAGGTGGGGACAGATGGGCTACCCACCAGCAAGCTGGGAGGGGGAAGAGTCTGAGACCATTTTTAAGGGAAAAGAAGCCTTCCCGGAAGCATAAGTGGCCGGGTGCCCATTTTCTCTGCACAGTGGAGGAGGAATAAATGTGGGGTGAGGCAGGTAACCAGCAGGCTAAGTGTCGGTCATTTGAGGCACCAGGCAGTGTGTGGGACCCTCAGAAGGCATTAGATCGTCCCCTCCCATAGGGTGCTTACAGCTGGGGAGACGTGTAGGCACAAAGGTAGCAGACAGGGTATGTGTTTGTATCGGCCCAGGGTCCGGTGGTAGACAGACCACAGCAGGTGCTAACACGTGGTAAGAAGAGGAAAGGGCCCGAGTGACACTAAGGTGTCACAGACCTAGTGACTGCCGGACACGGTTACTGCTCCCAGGGCAGGGGAGCAAAGGGAGGAACTTGGGACTGTTACAATGTGGAGGCTTGCCCGAGGGGCTGTCTTCCCGCGGAGGAGATGCTGCCCTCTCAGGGCGCTCGGGGAGGCGGGTTCTCCGACCGCACTACTGGGACCAGCTGTCGCTGCCGGAGCGAAGCTGTGCTGCTGTGGTTTGTCCGGGAACAGGAAAGGGCGCGTCCCTTCTTTTTTGCCTCCAGCCTGGCAGGCTCCCTCCCTCACATTTCCCATGGGTCAACCTGTCCTGGAACGAGCTGGTAAAGGCGAATTGTGCTTGGCAGCGTCCCAGCCCCAGGGGCACGGGGGCAGTCCCGAGGGGCGGTGGGCTGGGGGGCGGAACAGCCCAGCCCTGCCGCCTCTGGCAGCTCGGCGTCCGTGGACGTGCTTCGACACATACATGAGCCTGAAACAGTAAGAACAACTCTGTCTCGGGACGCCTGGGTGGCTCAGTTGGTTGAGCAGCTGCCTTCGGCTCAGGTCATGATCCCGGCGTCCTGGGATCGAGTCCCACATCAGGCCCCTTGTTCTGTGGGGAGCCTGCTTCTCCCTCTGCCTCTGCCTGCCACTCTGTCTGCCTGTGCTCCCTCTCTCTCGCTCTCTCGCTCTGACAAATAAATAAATAAAATCTTTAAAAAAAAAAAAAAACAACAACTCTGTCCCTACCTAACACGATACAGCCACTCTACGCAAAGGTGACCTTGCCCTCTCCCCAACGCGAAACGGTGTCGACACTCAGTGTTCCCACATCTGAGAGACCATAACACCTATTCTGGGCCAGATCAACGACTCAGACTGGCATGGTGGGTTAGACGACAGACACCTATTTCATGATTGGCAGGCCAGCCCACATGGTCACTGGGTGTCCCATGGTTAGGTACCTGATCTCAAAAGGAGAAGAGTTATCGGCCAAAGAAGCCATGGATATTTTTCAAAACCCTGGAGTTCTGCATGGTAATTCTCCAGCCAGGGCTCGCAGGACGCTCCATACGGCGTTAGCCTTTGCAATAGATGGTTTGTCTGTTGCTGAATCCTACTCAGTCATAAAGCCCAGGTGATGGCCCAGAGCTAAATTTGTAATAAGAATCACACCACACGGATTTTCCTCAGTAAAGCTTTCCCTTAGAGAGAACTTGTACAACTCCATTAAGCCAGGTCAGTTCCTTCATGAACTTTCTGTACAGTGCGATTAAATTGTTTCTCTGTTTAATATTTTTATTTTCATTTTTACTTTAAAATATTTTTATTAAGATCATTGTTTCTGGGGTGCCTGGGTGGCTCAGTGGGTTGGGGCCTCTGCCTTCGGCTCAGGTCATAATCTCAGAGTCCTGAGATCAAGCCCTACATTGGGCTCTCTACTCACCAGGGAGCCTGCTTCCTCCTCTCTCTCTCTGCCTACCTGCTGTGATTGCTCTCTCTCTCCCTGTCAAATAAATAAGTAAAATCTTTAAAAAAATATTTTTTTAAATCATTGTTTCCCATGAAATGTTACAATGGAAATTTAACTCAATCTAACTAATTCTAGTTCTTGCCTTTGCAAGCTGTAGCTTTTGCCCTTGTGGGCTTTCTTTTGTGGCTATTACCTCCTCCAGGTTTATTTTCCCCAAGTCAAACTTGACAGCTCAAAATTTAAGTCTTTTATCTAAATGTGTATTTTTAGCTGATGTCATTTTTCTGTTAATGATTTCTAACAAAACACAACATGGAGAGAAGACTGTATTCTTTTTAAGATTTTATTTATTTGGCAGTGAGAGAGAGAGAGCACAAGTAGGGGGAGCAGCAGGCAGAGGGAGAAACAGGCTTCCGGCTGAGCAGGGACCCTGATGTGGGGCTCGATGCGGGGCTCAATCCCAGGACCATGGGATCATGACCTGAGCTGAAGGTAGATGCTTAACGACTGAGCCACCCAGGCACCCCGTGTCTTGTTTTGTTTTATTTTTAAGATTTTATTTATTTGACATTGAGCAAAAGAGAGAGAGCGAGAACAAGCTGGGATGGGGGTGGGGGGAAGCAGAGAGATAAGCAGACTCCCCACTCAGTGTGGAGCCCAACACAGGGCTCAATCCCAGAAGCCTGAGATCATGACCTGAGCAAAAGTCAGTTGTTTAGCCAACTGACCCACCCAGGCGCCCTCCCCCTTTTTAAGGGGAATTATCTTTTTCTTTTTAAGATTTTATTTATTTGACAGAGAGACAGCAAGAGAGGGAACACAAGCAGGGGGAATGAGAGAGGGAGAAGAAGGCTTCCCTGAGCAGGGAGCCCGATGTGAGGCTCGCTCCCCAGACCCTGGGATCACAACCTGAGCCGAAGGCAGACGCCCAATGACTAAGCCACCCAGGCGCCCCTAAAAGGCTTTTTAATTTTTTTTTATTTTTTTAAAAGATTTTATTTATTTGACAGACAGAAGTCAAGTAGGTAGAGAGGCAGGCAGAGAGAGGGAAGCAGGCTCCCTGCTGAGCAGAGAGCCCGAGGCGGGGCTCGATCCCAGAACCCTGAGATCATGACCTGAGACGAAGGCAGAGGCTCTAACCCACTGAGCCACCCAGGCGCCCCAAGGGCTTTTTTTTAAAGCAAGCTCTATGCCCATTGTGGGACTTGAACTCATGACCTTGAGATCAACAGTTGCATGCTCTACTGACTGAGCCAGTCAGGTGCCCCAGACTATATGTCTTAGCTTTCCTGTAAGGAAATTGTGATCAAGTTCCCTTAGATTTTCCTTGATCGTTCTTTATGTGCAAGGCTAGACTATTTCTTCTACTCACATTTCATTCCGATCACTTTGCACGTGAGCTATCTACACAGGTGGCAAATCAAAGAGTACAAGATCCTCCAAATATGCCCTACTTTGTTCAATTGGGATGGCTAGCCGATAAGTACATATTTGAAAAAGGGGGACTGGAAGGCTTCACAGATTCGTGAACTAGACCCTGAGGTTGGAGAAGGTGCAGGAAGTTGGTTGGCAGGGGGTAGTTAGCTGTCCCCTGCAGCTGGTGTTGCTCAGGTCTGTCACCTCTATCACGGGGCTAGAGTAGATATCCACTTATCTGCTGCCATTTGCTTTACAGCCACTGCATGCGCAGAACTGCAGTAGGCACTGATGACGAAAGCTGAGTCACCGAGGCCTGTAGGACACGGAGTGGGAGAGGCAACTGCTGGAGCCAGGCAGGAAATAACCAAGCCGTGGCTCTAATGGCTGGGGAGAGTCTTCTGAACCTGGGCAGAAGCAGATGGATGAAAATTCCGAGCTGGACTCAAGCTCCATTGAAATATTTAGAAAGCAGAATCACTCCCAAATCCTGGAGTGCCTGGGTGGCTCAGTTGGTTAAGCATTCAACTCAGGTCTCAGGTCTTGATCTCAGCTCAGGTCTTGATCTCAGGGTCATAAGTTCAAACTCAGCACTGGGCTCCACGCTGGGTATGGAGCCTACTTTTAAAAAGTGGTGGGGTGCTGGGGGCTCAGTCAGTTAAGTGTCTGTCTTTGGCTCAGGTCATGATCCCAGGGTTCTCGGATCCAGCCCTGCATCAGGCTCCCTGCTCAGTGGGGATCCTTCTTCTCCCTCCCTCTGCTGCTCCTCCTGCTTGTGCACTCGCTCTCTCTTGCTCTCTCTCAGATAAATAAAATCTTTAAAAAAAGAAAAAAGAATCACTACAAATCCTAAGTAGGAGAAATAAAAACACACATATTATAATGAAACTGATGAAAGCAAATATGGAGAAAATCTTAAAAGCCACCAGAAGCAGAGAGGAAAGTTAGTTCCAAAAGAGTGACAATAAGACTTACAGCCAACTTCTCAATGGAAAAATATAAACCAGAACAGTGGAATTAAATCTCCTAAGGTTAAAGAAAATAGCTACCAACCTAGAATTCTGTACCCAGCAAAAGTATACCTCAATATTGAAGATGATATAAAGGCATCTTTGACAACCAAAACATGAGAGTATTTGTCACCTGCAGACCTTGTACTAAAGGAAATATTAAAAGGTGTTCTTCAGGGGCTGACTGGCGGGCCCAGTCAGAAGAGCATGTGATCCTTGATCGCAGAATTGTGAGTTCGAGTCCTACATTTAAAGTAGACAGTGACTTTAAAAAAATTAAAAACTTGGGGCACCTGGGTGGCTCAGTTGTTAACTGTCTGCCTTCAGCTCAGGTCATGATCCCAAGATCATGGGATTGAGCTCCGAGTCAGGCTCCCTGCTCAGCAGGAAGCCTGCTTCTCCCTCTCCCACTCCCTCTGCTGTGTTCCCTCTCCCGCTGTGTCTCTGTCAAATAAATAAATGAAATCTTTTTAAAAAATTAAAAAATAGGGGCGCCTGGGTGGCTCAGTGGGTTGAAGCCTCTGCCTTCGGCTCAGGTCATGATCTCGGCGTTCTGGGATCGAGCCCCGCG